ACGCGAGGAGCACTATTGGAAGAAGCCCAGCAAACACGGTAATGGAAGTTTCTATACGTTTGCAGGAATTTCTCTCTTGGAAAACACACTTGTACCTAACTAGCATTTCCCTCATCTTCTAGACGTCTCTGACAACGAATCGACCAAGAGCAGCGGTAGGAATTTGCATGACAATTTTGATGATTTCGACTAAACAATTTCATAGGAAGTAATTATAGCTCTTTCTCCTTCAAAACAGAAGCTTCTGCAGCCTCCGACGATGATGGTGAGGAAAAGATCATGGTGGAGCGCTACTGGAAACGCGAGCCATCAGGTAGGTCTTGACACAAAGCCGCGTGTATCAGAGGATGTGGAACAGTAATCTGACAACAACTTCTATTTCAGCTCACAAGGGGTGCGAAGCTCCAAGCGGTGAGGAGAAGATAATCATTTCACGACTCTGGAAGAAGAAATGTGAGACGAATATATTGCCGATTGAGAAATACTCAGAAAGAAGTAAGGCAAAACTAAGTATACACTTTAAATTTTAGCTGGTGGCAATGGTGAAAACGGTCGCGATAAGGAAAGTGAGTTAGGGAAAATGATTCAATTAAAGCTTAAATATTGTCAACATCCTAACCCTATGTACCTAGTGCCTTCAGTCAACCAGAGTCACTTCACCAGACCGTATTCGACCTCAGCAAAGTCAGGATCATCGTCGTCCTCATCGGTGTCATCGGAATCTTCTTCATCCAGCTCAGCATCTTCTAGCGAGTCTGAGAACTCTGCCTCCGAAGACAGCTCCGAGAGCGACGGGGAATTCATTGAGCACTACTGGACACGCAAAACACGAGGTATCACATTTTACTACCTCTCTTCTCCCTCCTCCACATTCTCCAAGCTTACGCTTTCCCCTAATTGCAAAATCATTAATCGACCGCTTTGGTCGTTCAGTGCGTCCTAGGAGTCGTCATGCGGAGCCGAAAGGCAAACGCTCACATGGTAAGGACAGCCCCAATTTAACCGGAGACACTCCAACAAACGTAAAAGTCATTCGATCTGACGTTATCCCTAACATAATCATGATTAAACAGTAACAGTTAAGACGAATCTTCTCTTTCTACAACACATCTGTCCTTCTTGCAGGCCACAGACCCGAATCACGCGGTCATCGACGTAAGTCGTCGTCATGTTGACAAACAATTGCAGAGTAAAATGGACGCAATGCTCTACTCGCGTTTCCTTTCTAGCACCAGTTTGTCAGAAATGCGGATCCTACAAATACCCTCGCAAACACTAGCCAACATTATCTAAGGCTAGCGACACTATGGGTTGTTTAGTGGAGTTGACGCTTTTCCCGTCTTGCGTTTTTCCTGTTTAGTAATAAACAGTTCTCTTTGTGGGAGTCCCATTATCCCTTCTCACTTTAACGGCGTTTTCCAACTCTTTCAAATAAACCGTCTTCTGAACAGAACTTGCCTGTCTCGTGGCTCTATTATACTTGCATTTTTGGCTTCTGAAATACAGAGGAGCGTAGAAATGCGCTGAAGCAGTTGAGCAGATGACGTGAGAGCATTGTGCAGCGGCATTGGAAATAACTCACAAGAAGGCAGCGCCTAGACCACACACCTAATTTAATTTTTGAGTCACAATACTCAATAAGAGTAATTGCCCACTCATTGAATGAATGAATGAATGGTTCGTCTAATCAAATTTCCGGAATCCTGCAGGGCTATCATATGGCCGGTCAACTGTACAAAGTAAATCGACCTTGCAATGCTGTGTCTTTGTTTACAGGTGAGAGTAACTCGGTTCGCTAATAACGATCAAGCATTCTAACCTCCAGGCGGACTCAGGGTGGAGAATAAACTAACCTCTTATGCCTTGTAAGTGCTCCATGCGTCATGAGCTCCTGGATCCCTACTAATAAAGCAGCGCTGTGGGATTCAATACCTCAAACGCTTTCATTTTCAAGTTATTAGTTTCTTCACAACCACTCCTACACATCAATTGGGACATTTTTTGAGTCGGTTAATCCAGCAGTGTAAAAAGTACGTCAATGCTCTGGACAGTCCTCAGTAGAGCAGGATGATATCACCTTGTTATCGAGCCAGATAGTGATGGCCTAGGCTGTCCAATCGTTTGACTCTGATATCATTTCCAATACCATAAACATTCCCCTAAACGAGGATTGCCTTGACAAATTTAGTAACTATCATGGTACAGGCACATCCTTAAAATTCGTCCAAAATCCTCATATGACACTAAATCCGCGAGGATTGCACTCAAGACTATGCCCTGTAGTGGGCACTAACAACCCCGTTTATGGAAACCGCATTAACACATGATGATGATGAAAAGAATATCGATGGACGACTTACTCTACGGCACCTACTTTTAACAAGGATTAAAGGAAGACCTTTGTGATACGCTGGTGCCTTGAATTACTTTGCTCAGAAAATGTCTTGTCAAATCATGCAAAAATGTTAGAAATGAGTACTGACTTAAAGTGTTTATGCATGTCTAGGTATTTGGCCTAGTTCCCTCCTCTGATGTGCATTGAGATCCCCTGCTCACATAAAAACATTCGTTGACGTCATGGGGAATGCATTGACTGTGCGGTGATCAATTTAATAAATCTTCTTGCAAAGTCGAATCTAACGTATTTGATCAGGAGTAAAATGAGGCATTTAGAATTGATGGCTGGGCACAGAGCTTCGTGTAACTGGCCAGTCCGTAATCCTGCTCCTCCGAAGAGAGTAAATTAGTACCACGAGGTGTCTAGAGGTATCATTATTGGCTCTGAAACTCAACACTCACATATTCCGATGGACTTTAATAATCTAAAGATGGTGCGATTGATATCACAAGAATATCCAAGGAGTGGTTGCAACCATGCTCAGGTGCACACTTGCAAATTGAGAGGTCTGTCTAATTCAATTAATTGGCATTCAATCATATTACTACTGATGCAATTCCACCAAATTTGACGAAATGGACTGGTTTTATCCGTTTTTTGAGTGCATTCAGTAGGTTCTTTGTCTGATTCAAATTCCTCTAGTGCTTTAATCGTGGTTTTAACCTAGTCACATATAACTCTGATTGTTTGAAAATTTCAACTGTCTAAGCATTGTCTTCTTAAGTCCCAACGCGGAGATCTGTACAACAATGCTGCACACCTAATGCAGTTCGGAAGAAATTCCAAAATTCTAAGCTACAGCATTAACAAAGGCCTCGAGCAAATAACACTTGGTACAATCATCTTTTCTGTGTACCAAAAAATCTGCTAATTAGATTCTGATCTTTGGCAGGATAAACGTGAACCTTTGATTTCATTATGCAAATTAAAGCGCTCTTGTAGCACAATTAAGGTGAAGTGGAGGATTCAAGCCAACCAGGTTGCTGCATGAGAAACAGTGCTTGCGGTTTGCGTTTAAACGTGTCATTCTTTGGCAGAAAGAGGAGTAAAAGGTGATTTGACGGTAGAGAGAATGCAACAAATGCATTATAGCCTACATAAGTGAGTGGGACGAGAGATGGTTATTACATTGCTATCTGTCAAGGCAGAAACAAGATTACAACGAGAATTGTAGAAATGCTTTTGTCTCAGTGCAAATCCTTGTCACGAAATACTTAAGCTTTTGGTGCTGTTCATTTTAGTCAGAGTGCTTGATTCATCACTGCACTGTAAAATTTCTCGTCTATTGTTATTACTGCATAGAATAGTGAACTGGACTTAAACGACGGTTTTTTTCGAGAATGCGCACATAATAGACATTAGAGGGTTGTATTTGCTCCCCAAACCGCTTAAAATCATAAATTGCACACATCACATATGGCTTAATTTCGCATAGCTTAGATTCCTGCAAATCGCATCCCGGGTAGCACTATGCTCTTCACGATGGAAATGGCAGACATTCATGGCAGTGTGGCGCCCCGCATCGCTGCATCACGAAATATCAGAAAATCATAAACGCACTCAACTTTCCCACGAACGTGTCAAATGTGATATGCTTTGCTAATGAGTTACTATTTAAGAACAATAGAGAATCCTAAGCAAGATTAAGTCTCTGTTCACGAGCGAAATAAACTGAAGTAACTAAAATGAAATCTTGAGAAGCGGTAGTGTTTTTCGAGTTTCTGCACCCAAAGGAACTGCTGCATATTCCTAGCATGAGTTGTAAGAGCAACTGTTTCATTCATGAATTCAAAAGACTGATGTTCGAATTGAAGAGAAACGTGAGAGCAGTTGACTACGGGAGCCCCGAGATTTGAAATATGATGCTACCGCATATCAAAGCCATTAGGAGGGTTCGTCAAAACTTTGACTGCAGATACACGAATGAAACTGCACTTTACAAGGACTTATTTCCACGTTTAGACACCTCGATTTTCCATTTATCAAAGAGTGGAAACTAATTGCATACAATATATTCCTCTTAATGGTTTAATTACTCAATTGCGTTTTAAGTAGGATGAAATTATTTCATTAACCTCCGAGATAAATAATCATCCCTAACATTTGCACAGCTACAAAGAGACTTATCGATAACAAAACATATCTCCGTTTCAACAAATACCAATTTCTGTCACCATACCTTCCATTGCTCATTACTGAGTTATCTGAACTTTTGGCTTAATGACGACAATACCTACAAATACTTTGTCGTAGAAAACAACAGGCAAAGGTAAGAATTGGCATAAGTCTGGAAGAAAATCGATTGGAGACTCTCGCATAATCATTTGCTAATACATCATCGCGAAAATATAAATCACCCTTGTGCTCTGAGAATGGCATATTGTGGCATGCAAATCATCATGAGCTTTACTTCGATCACATGATGTGGCGTATTTTAATGCCTATTAGGGACAGCTCTTAATATCTACAACGAAGGAAATAATAGGCATATAGCCTGCGTATGTGCGTGCATTGCCTTCAAAACTTTCAGTATGATATTCTTATTTCGTCTTTATTAGAGTTTGCCCCAATTTTTGCTATTAACAAGGGCTGACGTGATTGCGTTAATAACGCTAGATGAGTAATATAAGGTGGTGGGGATCCTAGGTGGCAATGACAAAACAGACTGTGATCGAAACACCAAGTGAAGCCAAATATTCTGGTACAAAGTGTTTTATATCAACAATTTAGATGAGACGCCTTCGCTCATTTACAAGTGTATCGTTCAATGTTGTTTGCTCGTTAGCAGTCACACCAAGTTTCATTTCTCAGGTTCATTGATTCATTCGGCATGCCACCCATCTTACCTCTGCAGTGGACATCGTAGCATAAATGGTATGTACCCCAGCCACTGATGGGATTAATGTGCTCCTGCACCGTGACAATGAACTTGTTGAAATTTCCTGTTTAGACTAGAGCATTTATCACTGGATAGGTTCATTTATGAAATAAAGTGAACTCTGAAGAGAACTCAACTACGCAACAACGATTGGCTGAGCAGTATCAAAACAGGTGCATTTAAAGTGAAGAATATCTAGGATAGAAGGCAAATACAAGTTTGGTTAACAGATTGTTGGATGAAGCGTTTCCTATATATGCTGTTGCAGCGTTGCCTAACTTCCTATCTAATCAAGGTGCTAGAGGTTTGCAAAGACAACTCAATGCATCTGCGTATTTCACCAGAAATATCACCAGTCATCAAGCAGACTAAATACTAACAATTCAACTTTTAAAGAAGAATGCGCCTTCAGTCGATCCCACTGTAAATGATTTTGACTATACCTAATCTGCTGACTTACGCAAATAATCAGTCAAGCCTTTTCACTGGTTTATTTCCCAACTCCAGTTTCTTATGGGTCCAAAGTTTCCCCTCCAACCCATCTGGGTTCCTACTCCCACCTCTTTTTGGGAGAGAGTAAGTGCGACTAGACGCGTCCCAATGCCATCGCCGATTCGTCGCCCGAGTCAGACAAATGGAATTCATAGGCCCCTACTCTCCTAGAACAATTTTCAGTCAAGTTGGAGAACACCAGGTAAGAAAGATAGAATCGAAGGAAAAAGGGAGTGTAGGTACGAAGATCTGTAACATGCAATGTTAGCTAGCGTGCTTGCTAATCAAAAAATTGCCAGGCAACTACAGGAATAAGCAGGATAAAATGATGCTTAATATCATGAAAGAGTAGGCACTATGCAATTTAACATCTCCAGAAATAAGAAGCAATTAGCAAACCGAGTTTTCAGGTTCAAAGTGCTAACTGCATTTTGTTTGCCTGTAGTGATGGCCCACCTAATTTGTTTGGTGTGTAAGCTTCCTCACGTAGGCAATACATTTCCTGACTGTCGTAACAAGTTAAAAGCAATTTAATGCTTAATCTCAGAATAAATAAGTGGTGATTGTGGTTCACTTGGTAAAGGTAATCCTAGTGCAGTGGAACTACACTGGATTTAATGAAAAGTCAGACCTACTTTTAATGTAGTGGGGAGACGGAATTTTAGCAATGGTTCTATCTAATCATGCAGCGCAGTGTAGTTTACTGTTGATTGAAATGATCACACAAGCCTAATGTCCCTATGAACTAAAAATTGGCCTCATTTTGAGAAAGAAATGTAATCAAGACATTTAAAAACAAACGGCTACTGCCTTCGACTTTTCAGTGTGCACCAATTTAACCATCATCCACATGGTATTAATTCCTCTAAAGTATCTGATTCCGAAAATTGGAACCAAGTAAGCGCTCGCCCGAATGCGTCCTTGCACATCAAGGAAGCGCATCTGTGCTACAAAGGTCCAGCAAAACGGCATTTTGTGGCCATGACAGTGAACTCATGCGTTCGCCAAAGATGATTCTCTCGTAACTTATTTTGTCATTACTTTGTGTTGCTAAAACCAATCTTTCATGGGGCAGGAAAGTGGTTATTCTTAATTGCTTTTACCCCTGTAACCAATAAATCGAAAAACGCCTTCTTTAACACCTAGCACGCTAACAGAGGTGCCATGTAAGCGCTCCAAAAGGAATGATGAATTTTCGAATTGATGTTCTGCCCATTCATGTGGATGACTTGTTTCAGTATCAAGAATAAGCTTGTAGGCAGTGCTTGGACACCAAAATATCAATAAAGCATTTTGCTCGGCCTTACAAAACAAAATTATTGAAAAGCTGAGCACAAATTTCTAAAAATAATGCAAAATACCTCATATAACCATTTGTGACAGCTTTTGAGGCCCACACCCTCTATGGAGTGTTTCTCAACCACTAAACCATATCTTTGACTTGGGACTTTGCCCTCTATTTCTTGACACCTCTCCACGCCTTGTAAGAATGGTGAGTAAATATGCTATTTTAAAGTATTATGTTCTTGGTGTTTCACGCAACTGCACCGCGTTTACTACCACTCGAACGCCCTGCACTTTGTGCCACAGGTGTTGTGGGCATTGCAAGACTTTGCATGAATTTCAAACACGAAAGATATCATGATGCAAAAGATGAAAGCAATTCCAGTTTACTAGTTCTGTGCATCACGCACACTGCTTATGGCTGAAAAACAGGAAAGGACTTCTAAAAAAATCACTGTTTTGCACAAATACACGCTAATTTTACTTTTGCAGCAGAGGACATTCAAGTTTGTCAATCAAAACTTGAAGGTCAGTACTCAATCGGGAAGTTATGCCAGGCTTTAAACCAATGATTTTGAAACTACTTTGTACAGAGGGCTGGAGACGAGACCCTTCATGCTATTCATGATGTGCAGATGGGTTTACGGGATTTACGGGTTTACAGAATAGCCACGCATAGATTAAACAAACACTGAAGTTGTAAAAATGCGATGGCTAGTTGCTGCATGTGCTTCAGGCGAAATTGTGGAGAAGTGAGTTTAATTTAGCCACTGAAACATACCTCAAACCAAGTCTTGCAAAGAAATAAGACTCTTGCGCGAGAAGTAAGGGTTAGATCATTTCTAAAAATTCTATTCATTTCATGCGAATGAAGCGATTTTGTACAACTCTGGCTCCTAAAGCAAGTGATAGAAGAAGTGCTGCGGAGAAGTACTCACAGAGTTATTTTAAGCCAAACCCCAAGGTTAACTATGCAAAGCTGGTATGACCCTTCCAAGTATAAACCTGTTTGACCATTGCACCGGTACTTAAGACTTCAAAGGTTGAAAATATGGAATCTGGTTCCTGAATTTGCAACTCCCAACAGACATAATGTCAGTCAGCACAATGTATGGATATATGTCTAACAAACCTCAACATGCTTTCATTTTCCTTGATTAAAAGGGAGGAATATTTGAAGATCGGTGTAAAAATTGATGAATTAAATAAGCCAATAACATGTTTTACAAACTCTGTTACACTCAACAGACTGAGATGTAGATGCTCCTAGGAATTCTAACTGTAACACAAAGTTTAGCCTGCATTTCACTGTCAAGCTTCCATATTGTAACACAAGACTTCCCACTGGCGATCGAGTAGACAAAAAAGGTTTAATTATATTTTACGATGGTTGGGGCGTCCACGTGCCCGTTCAAAGTGAATAAGGGACTCAATGTAGATGACCGCTGCTGCAGATGCAGTTAGCAATGTTTACAAGCACGAGATGTAAGCAAGCCTTAGGCGGTTACACCTTTGATACAATTGCTATATAAAGTTCTTCTTCACCTGATTAGGCTGCTACAAATTATTCGAACGATGCATAGTCATATTCAGGCACAGCAAGCGTTTTATTTCTAAAGAAATCTCATGCCTTTACTAAACATATGTAGATTCATTTAATGGTACGCTTGCATGGGACTAAAAGTATCCTATATTGAATTTGCTTTTTATAAATTAAATTTTATCGCAGAACCTGCTGCGAGCATCGAAATACTGACACTCTGTATAATCATCTTTTGGGAATACACTAATTTAACCTTTAGACAATTGCAAGTTTAATAGATTTATATACACACGAATAAATACTACAAAACATTTGAGGACTTTGCTTGGCCTGTGATGGTAGGCAGGATACTTGGTTATTACCCTAGAAAGTAATATTCCCCTCATAAAATCCCCCAAAATTTTGAGATGCATTGTAATAGGTTCGGTGCCTACCTCTTCAACTTCGGCCTCCATTCTCTTAGAAGAAGTGGACTGATTGCGTGAAGACATCCTTCATTAGTAATGTTGTAAACGAAGTTAGCTGTTATAACTGTTCAGAGGACACTTCTTCCACGGGGGTAGATAGCATTTCCACTGGATGCTTCTCTTCTAAGAGGTATGCTCATACGTAGCTCCCTCGTCTTTTTAAGCACCGACTTCACTGCTGCCCTTAGGGATAGTCTCTGTTGTACCACAGTTGGAGGCCTTCTTTCTTCCGTTAGTACGCAAACTTCATCTTCGCATGCCAACGGGGTTGTACCCTTGTACCAGGGCATATTGTTGTTGTAAAGAACGGTGATTTAATGAGTACGGATTGGCGCATTGCAGACGAGGTGGTTTATTAGTGAGATAAGTTTTATTATTCGCAACACATCCTTGCTCCACAGATGCTGGAACTTGTAGTGTACTCAAATGAGTGACATCAGCCTGCATGGCTATACCATCACCTTCTAGGCAGATGCTAGTCTGACTGTACCTGTCAGATTACTTCACTAGCCTGAGATATGACAGTGGTAAATGCTCACGTGCAATGCTGGAAATTTGTTCATTCCCTTCTATCAGCCACACTACATCCTCTGGTACATTGTGGGTAGCTACACCCTCGTTTGGTAACGAAATATCGGCTGGTTTCTTATTTTGTGACCTGTGAGCATCTTGAATGGTAACACACCAGTTGGTGATAGACTGGAGCCCTGTACGTGAGAAAACTTTGTCCTAAGCTTAAATTCCAGCATTTCCGTTGTGCGTCCCTACTGGGACCCTCAGCAGTCCAACTAGAGTGCGATTCCTTCATTCCACTTGTCCATTACCCTGCAGATGTTCAAGTGTTGTGCGTATCTTGGAAATCTCAAAGGTCTTGCATGGTTCAGTAGAGAGCAGATTTTCGATACCAGACCCTCGATTGCCACACACCGTTTTGGATACTCTGTGTTGACAAATTCAGCAATTCAAGGAAACAGAGGCAACCATTTCGGTGTCTTGTGCCGTCATGGTTTCTGCCACAACTACCTTAGTGAAAAAGTCTGCCAAACCAAGGATGTATTGGTTGCCTGTCTTGGTGGGCGGCATGGGACCTATGATGTCAATAACTACTCCTTCCGCTGACAACCCTGTGAGCTGAGGTTCAAGTGGCGGCATCGCTGTGAGGTGAGGCCTTTTGAAGCTGCTACAAGTGACACAGGCCCAAAAGAAATCAAGCATTTCTCTGGTGATCGTGGGTCACCAGTACCTTTTACTCGAGGCGTCTAGCACACTCATTCTCACCACATGGATCAGTTGCTGGTGTAACCCTTGGAGAATTGATTTTATCAATGAGCCTGGGACCACTAGGCGCTTAGGGCACCCACCATCCTCTTAGTACAATAGCACCTCATTCTCTGGAGGGAGGCTCAACTATTCCTGCCATTTCCACCTGTCCGCCTTACTGGACGAGGTCACCTATTTTGCTATGAATTTGTAAGAGGGTGTAAGGAAACCGTCGTATGCCAGAGGCGTGTCAGGAACAGCATTCTGCGTATTTCCCCAATGATGTTTAGTAGGCTTGCTCCAGAACCTAGTAATCACTGGAACACCACCTGCGTCAGCCTGAAATGATCTGCGAGACGTGAAGTCTGCATTACTGTGTGTATTCTCCTCCCCTACTGCACTGTGAAGTCGTAATGTTGCATCCCTTCGTAACAAAGTGCAAGCAAATCGTCCATTGCCTTCATCGTTTGCAGCCAGGTCAACGTCTGGTGATCTGTTCCACCTACGGACTTCACCGCCATCAGGTAATGTTCAACCGCTCTAGACATAGCGAACATCTAACATTGTGCTGCATCTTCCTGCCTCATTTATTGGTGAGTTTGTTACTTGGATTGGCGATGTCATGTCCATTTGTGTGAGCACACTGCTCACGGCTGTATGGCTAGCGTCAGTGTCCAGTACGAATGGTGGAGCGCTTGCGTCGAAGTCAGACAATGCTAGAATCGGTGCGAGGCAGACCATTCGCTTCATCATGCTCTTTCTCCTATTTGAAACTCACTTTCGTCTACTATCCCGCCAGTCCACCTAACAGGCCTACTATCTTGGTAAAATACTTGACAAAACGCCTGCAGTAATCTGCCAAGCCTAAGGGAGAAGGAAGTTATATTTGAGTGGCTGATGATGGCTAGATCCTCACTTCACCATTATGGACTTCGTCTGACGAGAGAGTGCATGCCAAGAATTTGACCAAGAACAGTGAACATGGCAATTTCTTCGCGTTCAGGGTCAAGCCTGCACACCGCAGACGGCCAAACATCAGTCCCAGTTTAGTGTTATGCCTTTGAATAACTCTCCCGAAGACCAGAATACTATATTGTGCAATGCTGGTATATTCTATAGGGTGTCGGCAAGAAGAGACTAGTGCGGTTTGTGTGAGATGTTAAAAAGTGGTTGCTGCGTTACAGAGTCCAAAGGCATTGTCTGCAATTCATAAAGTCTGCTTACCAACATTAAATTTGTTCTCATTCTATCCATTTCTGCTACTCCATCCTACCAGCATCCTGATTGTAAATCTAGGGTTGAGAACCACTTTGACATCTGTGGAGAGTCTACCGATTCACTTATGTGCGGTAGTGGAAAAAATTCATCTTTGTTACTGCTCTCTGCTTCTCCTGGTCGACGCACAGCTGTAGACCCCTCTCCTTTTTATTAAAGCATTTGGTGAGATCAATGGTGATTTTGATGGCTTTGTGGTCTCGTCTCTGATCATTTCTTTGACCAGACGGTTTACTCCATCCAGCAGAGTGGATAGTATGCGTCTGGGTCACTGCCAATATCATCTAGCTTTGCTGGTGTTTATCGCATGTTTAACGATACTTCTTCTTCACAGCTTGACACCTTGCCATTAAAATATATTTGCGTACTTCACCAGTAGCTCTCGAAGTTCTTTCCCCTCGTTGTCGGTGATATGGGTGAGCTACGCGCAAGGG